ACCACCCACCGCCAACTCTTGGCTACTCTTTTACCAACGAATTGTGGGATTGACCGTAATATCATAACGCCCCACGGCTGAAAAGGGCGAGCATGTTTGGTGTGACGGAGGTTCGAATCCGCAACCCGCAGATTGCGAGTCGAGCGCCCTAACCACCTGGCCATAAGAAGAAAGTGGGAGACTAGAACTATAGGATTTCTTAGCAGATGTTTTAATGAAGTACAAGACAACTTGAGATGCAAAATTTATCATCAAACTAAGTATTATTTATTTTCAGCAATAAATAACGAAAATGAAAGCCATAAACATTTGAAGTAATAATTTATATTTATAAAGCTGTATGTTTCGCTAGCTAAATAATGGAAATTACAAACTGTTTGGCATTAATTAGATTGTTGATCATACATCGTATGTTTTTTTTTTAACCAAAGTATACTGAGATATATATTCCTTCTAGTGTAGGTACAGTTGATAATAAAATTTCATGTTTAACAGCACTCACCTTTGTCATATATAGCTTCTTTTGAAATGCTAAAATTACTTTAGCAAACGAGAGTTTAAACGTGTTTGAACATTCTTTGATAAATTGTTTGAACATGACTCTGCATAGTGGTGAGGATTTAAACGTGTTTGAACATGACTGTGTATAGTGTTTTAAGCAGCTCTACTCCTATTAAGTTACTGTTTTAATGTTTTAATATGACTTAATAAACATCCTTAGAGAAGAGGATAGATAAGAAAATTAAGGAATATATGTTCATATAAGATCAGTAAACAAGATCGTCAGATATACTTTCAAATAATGAACTGTACTGACAGATAGATCTATATACATTGTAGAAAACAATGTTATAAGAGATAGTGAACAGACAAATTTACAAAGAGGGTTAGTAAAAAGACTGTCATATCAATATACTGTTGGTGGTACAAATAAGAATTAAAACTTAAACACTTGCAAAATATATAGAACAAAGCCGTCTCTGAGAGTCTGTAGGCGTTAACAAATTGAATAATTCTTTGTATAACTTACAAATTTAATTGTTACTTTTCTAGTAATTACATTTTTTTCAGAAAATCTTTTATTGTTTTGAAATTCGTATGTTTTTCTGTGTTTCTCTACAAAGACGTAAGATAAATCTCGTTCTTCTGTGTTTCTTTTACAAAAATGTAACGTAGACCAAATATGAAACGTCCTTTTTACAAAAGTGTAAGTCTCAATCGTAAATGTTCATAAAATAAGAAGGTAGATCGTTGTCTTTAGTACTTTAGATTTTTACTCGGTTAAATATAAAGAAATCATTGATTCTTCAGTACGTTTTAAACAGTGAAATTATTTAGTAAGTATCCTTCAAAATGTTTTTATTAATATTTTGATTTATTAGAAAAATGGTAAATAACATCGGGATGCTAAATTCTAGTGTGTGTACTGTATAATCGTGTTACTTAACACTTACTGCGAAATTATTGAGGCCTACACATTTAATTTGCTTCTTAGCTTCGGTGGCAGAGTAGAAAGCAAAGCTTACTGTTAATTTTACTGTATTTCGGTTCAACTTATTAGTGAAAATTGCCTGTTTAGATCCCAGAAGACCTGAATCCCACGTAATGTTTGATTAAACTTTGTCAGTACTATTCATTAGAATTATATAAAATATCTTCAGCAACGGGGCGCGAATCTTCAACTTGCGGTTTATAGTTCGACACGCTAACAACTAAACCACGCCCGGCCCTGTATACATCTATTATTCTAAATTACGAATAAAACTTTCTAACTGCAAATTTTTTCTAGTCCTTCTTAAGAAACATACATCGTTTGTTTGAAGTATACCTGCCAAGATGTTAGAAAATATCAGCTCTTTTATAATTAGAAAATTATAAACGAAGTTTAAGCTTTAGAATAATTGTTCAAATATGCTAAGGCTAAACACTTGAAAGACTTTAATTGGAATATATAATCTTCTGAATCAGAAATATCAGTTTATTTTATTGTCTCCATCTTATTTATTAGAAAATTATCAGATGTTTTTCTTACATATTAAACTACTATTATGAATAATTAAAACATGATTTGCTTACTTAATGTTTAGCTGGTGTAACCGAATTCAGTTCTATGCCAGATCATAAATTTCTCTAAAAGGATCTTCGCGCAAAGCTATCAAAGAATGTGTAAGTGTTATCCTTCAGTTATTGAAAGGAAATACAGAGTAGTCCTACATATATTTTCAAGATATGCAGGCATTATCCTTTTTACTGTTTGTTTGATTTGTTTCGAATTTCGCACAAAGCTACACGAGGACTATCTGCGTTAGTCATCCGTCATTTAGCAGTGATAGACTAAAGGGAAGGTAGCTAGTCAACACCACCCACCGCCGATTCTCGGGGTTCTCTCTTACTAATAAATAGTGGGATTCACCGTCACATTATTATGCCCTCAAGGCTGAAAGGTAATGGTGATTCGAACCTGCAACTCTCAGATTGTGAGTCAAGCGCGTTAACCACTAGGTCATGCCAGGCTCTATCCTTTTTGTTGTTGTTATTTATTTTCTGCATAATTGTATTGCGTTTTCAGTGAATTATTTCGTATTACAGAATTTGACTTACAGTGTGATCAGTGCATGCACGAAATTTGTATATTTGTTTCAGGTAACAGATATCTAGCAACTACCTCTCTGGCCAGCTACACTTTAGAATCCAATAATCAATAATCTTTTTTCGTTACAATTTCAACAATTATGTAGAATGTTGTACCACTTTGCGTAATACATGAACATTTAGTCGACTCTTCAAACTAGTAAACTTGAGTTTGATTCATAAAGTTGTTCATTTTGGTGTTACGTGATAGGTTGCTTGGTCCAATTTATATACTGCTCAGATACTTTTTTTCATCTTAAGATCAACGTGTCTCCTCTAGAATAGTTCATTAACTATAATAGACCTGAACGAATTAAATATAAATGATTTGAACGAAACTCTTCAGTTGTTTGTTTTTTCATATGACTGAAGAGAATAACTGATTTGAACGACATTCTACTCCTTCACACATACATTCGAAAAGATCAGGAATATTTTTAGGTTAAAGGTTAAACGACTATTCTGTTGATAATATATATTTTTACTCAATAACTGAGTACGATTTTGATGGGAATGTGGGTTTGAACGAAAGGCTTCAGGTGATCACTTGTACTTTGCTTTATAAAAAGAAAGGAGTTAATGAGTTAGAATAGTACCTTTTATAGACAGTATTCAGTTGGTAACGTGTTCTTCATCTTCAAGAAGAGAATGACTGTAGGGTTTCAAGTCTTAAATTTAGATATTGTATTTAAAGGTTTCTTATTTTTAATTGATAGAAGAAAACTATATTGAAGTTGGAAAGTCGGCTGAACTATGTTCTTAAACCAAGAGGCGATAACTGATATGTTGGTCTAAACAACAATCTTCAGATGTTCATGTATTATTTAGCCAATAGAATAGAATTAACGTGTTAAAACATTTAGTTTGAACCACTTTTTTCACATGAAGAGGAAACACCAAATACTGTGTAGTAACTGTTTGTCTAAATGACTGTTACAGGTGTTCATCTTTACCTTAGAGAAGAAAACTAAACTTTTGGAATATTTAGTCTGAACTGCAGTCTTCTCCTGGCCATTTTTTCTTTATTTAACGAAGAAAAAAGAAATAGACTATAGAAGCTATTAGTCTGACTGTGCATGTTTTCGTGTTTGACTTAGAAAAGTGAAATAATGCGTTAAAAATGCTAGTGTGAGAGGAATGCTTAGGTAGCAATGTGTTATTAACACGATAAGAAAGTAGTAATATTAACAAGACGATCAAAACTATGGTGAAAACAAACATTTTGTTTCATACATTTCGGGCCCGGCATGGCCAGGTGGTTAGGGCGTTTGGCTCGCAGTCTGCAGGTCGTGGGTTTGAATCCACGTCACACCAAACATGCTCGCCCTTTCAGCCGTGTGGCCATTATAATGTGACGATCAATCCAACTATTC